TCTGGTAAAATACTGAAAGAGGATATCTCTTTCTGGATTGCCAATCAACCACAAAAGTGTGTAGCCAGCTTTGTAGCAATCTCTGAAACAGTAAAAAGCAGCACTTTTTCATCATGCCTTGACACTTTGCTGTTCACAGATATGAAACCAGTGTTTTTTATTGATATTAAAAGCAAATATATTAAAGTCCTATTCAGTAAAGAGAATAAAACAGAAAAGTCACGTACAACGCTAGCAAATAAAAGATATTTACACTTTAATTTCACATTCTGTCATCTCCTGTAAGGAGAAAATGGTAACAAACTTGCATTAAGATCTCCTGTCAGAGAAGAATGCCGATTTTTGTCTCTAAACATTTGCACTTTGGTTCTTGCCTACCTGTTCTTTTCAGATCTGTTGCTCAGGCATTCAACACTTTAGGTGTTTACCCCATTATCTGTCTGTTCAACCAAGATTACATACATCAATTGGGGTACAATAAATGGAGCGTGAAGACAGGTCACATTACTAAGAAAATCCCCTCCTACAGGTAGTGAGCAAAGGAGAAAATCTCACGGAGATATGACAAACTTAATTTACTCTGCATGTCCCATTCTGTCCAACAGGATGATTCACTGTGTATTTCCTGATCCTCGAGCTACAGCATAGGTGAATTCAGAGAGAGAACGTACAAATCCAAGCAGGTGCACTGTCTGGTTTTAACAAGTTCACTCCATTTTTCATAGGTCACGTGCTTCTTTTTCACCAAGAAGCCAGAAATACTTCTCCATTTATTTATTTAAGGTAATGTAAGAAATGGGTGTATGAAACCAAAAACCTGATGAGAATAAAATCACAAAGGGCATGGTAGTTTTTTGTCTTACATCCCTAAGGACACAATTGAACTGTTCTCTCCCATTCAAAAAGCATTTGAAATCACTGGACAAAATCCAATGCCTTAGTCATGCTAAGAGGCAGCAACCCAACAGCCTGTGTGTATTAGCTGGTCAGTTGCTGGCTACTGAATTCAAGTGTGGCTAAAACTGATGCTATCACCTGAACCATCAAACAAAGGGAGAGGGAGAGGGGGGGAGGGGATAAAGAGATTTTTCTTCACAGCTGCTCCTTCAAAAGAAAAACTCACAGAAAAGTAAGACCGTTAGGTCTGTTCCTCGTGGAACAAATGTTTTCTACCGAGGAAGGACAAAAAGATGGTTTGGTTGTAGGTATGCAACTGCAATGCAACTGTATGCATATTGCTACTAAGACTTTGTGGACACAGAGATATAAGTGTATCGTGAGGCAAAACAGAAATATGTAGCCCAGCAGTTGCTCTATAATACTCTGGGTACAGATGAATATTGAGTCTGGTTTGAAAGAACCCCATCACACAGGCTTAACGTTATTATGTGGCTCCAGGTGTTTCAGCTTGATCCTCCATGAATACAGAGGAAGAGGTGCATTGCCTCGGATGAAGAACTCATTCAGTCCAACATCCTGTTTCCACCACAGGCCACAGGCCAACGTCAAAGGAAGAGGAAAAGCAAGGCAAATACATGATATCTTCTCTGCAACACTCCCACAGCTTCCAACTGCTTTTAGCTCTGGGAATTTCCTGAGTGTGAGGGGGTGTTCATTCATTAACTCTCAACACAGCCTCTTCCTAATACTTGTCCAATCTTCCCTGCACTGCACCCCAGAGAAACACCCTGTACCCAACATGCCATTCAGAAACACACTGCAGGAAGAACATCTCCTTTGTTTATTTAAGGCCTGGCTCCCATTATCACAAATCTGGTGGTTTGTACTCAAAAAGTCAGTCACTATCCAACCTCTCCAAGTTACTCAGGATGTAACAGGCCTCAGGCGTCCTCCCTCTTGAGAGAGAACGCCAATCCTACTCAACTGTCGCTTTCAAGGGACACAAAGTCAGACAGCTAAGCATCCTTGTTATTCTTTTCTAGTTCCAGCATTTTCTTTCTAAAAAGCAGGAAACCCACCAGGGAACAGTGCTCATCATGCAAACTCAGCACAGACTTCTGGACTGCCATAAATATGGTCCTTCTTTTGTTCTCTGTCCCTTTCCTTAAAATGTGCTTTTTCCAAACACCAAGCTGATGTTCATGCAGGCCACACATACTTAAAAGTCTCACTCCTGGGTGGCAGCAACCATTGTAGGTATTCCTATCTTTTACGTGAAGTTAGGACTGGGTTTCGGCGCACACATCATCTTGCACTTACCTACCCTGTATTTAATCTATTTTTTACTGCTTAATCACCCTCAATTCTTTACAAATGACCCTCAATCCTGCTAACTTAAAAAAGTTTTGCAGAGTCAGCAAACTTCTCATCTTGCTGCTCGCTGTTTCCTCCATGGGAGTGATGAATTGTGAAGCACTGCTTAGCTGCCTTCTTGTGCTCGACTACTCACTGGTGCTGGTCTCTGTGGCTATGAAATAATGCATGTCTATGCTTGCCAATTAACAGTCTACCTTTTAATATATGGCTACTAGCAGCCAAGCAATACTTGGTATTACTTGGCATACAGCACCCGAAAAACTGTGTAAAACACAGATACCATTATGATTATTAACTCATGTGCACCTGTTAAGCCACGTGTGCTTAATATTAAGCATGAGTATTATTAAGCATGACCAGAGCAGTGCATATGAAATAGTTTGTAATGCCTTGCTAATACATAACTATTAGTTTTATTACCTTCTCATGACCGTGAAAATTAGAAGCGCTGTATTTGATTCATTCTGATCGGAAGCAGAGCTGGGGAGAATATTCTCCTTTGATTGCCCAGTCACACTGATCCCGTGAAAAAGAAAAAAATCTCAAACCTCTAGTATATGTTTCTAAAACAGTTTCACTTAATAAAGCATTAACTGCACTGCTTAGATAGTTGCACCCCACAGCCAATTTTATTTGAATGCCTTGCCTCTGAATTTGTTTTTGTTTATGTATTCTGATTTCCTTTTAATCCTAATTCCAGTTTGGTTGCATAACAACAATGTCCTTCTGCCCTTAAAAACCCTTCCACAGGGTCTCATACTTGGCTTTGCTTTAATGCAGTTTTAGTTTGTGAATGATACAGAACTATTTGTTACCCCACAAGCACAACTCAAAAGTTCACTCCTCCCTAAATGTCTGCTCCTACAAAACAAGGAAAAAGAAATTGACATCAGAATAATACAAGGAACACAAGCATATGCGTGTTTGCTTTTCGAGCAAACAATCGCATTTCCAAGTCATCTAGTAAACACTTTTCTTGAATCTTTTTATTTCACTTATTTCTAATGTATTTATTAATCTGTTTGTAACTCCACTGTCACTAAGTAAGTCCAAAGGAGGGAGTGACGAGGTTGGAGAAATGTATGCTCATACTGTATAATTGCATAAGCTACTTCCTGTAGGCTGGGGTAATGATTTGCATTTTCATCTATTAAATACCTTGTGTTCTAGATCCTTCTCTCTGACTGTGAAAGGTATTTGGACATCTCCATTGTGGCACTTTTCCAACTTTATACAAACACTGGAAAGCAATCTTGCTGAAAGCAGACGGTTTAGTATGACTTGGCTATTAATTTTTAAGGAAGAGGCTGTGTGATCTGCGACAAGAGAAGTATTTTAATTGATGGGAGGAACTACATACCACTCGTGCAAGTATTAGAACCACTTAAAATGTCTTCATCTGCATTTCTGTACATATATGTAAATATATAAAAATTTCCCAGAAGCAGGATATTCTTTACACAGCGTTCACAGCACACTCTGCTGGCTGTTGTCGAAAGTTAATGCCAAGCGAGGACGACATGCTAAAAGGAAATAAAATGTTTCAGGACACGGGAGAAACCCAATCCGTGCAGGTAATTACCGGGCGTTCGAACGGAGAGGAACGGGGGACAGTACTCTGGGAGCAGCAGGGAAAGGCTGGCAGGAAACTAGTTTAGTTTCGCGGAAGAGAGAGACCTCTTGGGGGGGGGGGGGGGGGGAGGGAATGGGAGGCTTCTCCCTGCGCTGTGAGGTCATCCCGATTCAGCATGGAGGCAGGGACCATGCATCTGTGCCAGTGCCTCCATTTCCGTTCCTTCAAGGACAGGGCAGGCGCTGCCTGACGGGCGGGCGAGGATCACTGGCTGCTCGGCATTAAGTGGCTTTACAAGAAGGTGGCTTAGAGCCACATTTGCATGACAAAGCCATTTGCGCGCCCCTCGTCTATAGGGAAGGCTGCAGCCTCCATTTATCCTGCGCCGAACACGCGCGACCATGAAAGGCAGGGACGGGGATTTCGGTCGGAAAGCTCTCTTTCCCGGTGCCGAGCGAGGCTGGGACCACCGGGGGCTGCGAACAGCGGGAGCACAAACGGGGACAGGGATCCAGCAGTTTTCTGGGCAGAAAACGTGGCCGGGGCCGTTTCCGGCCGGGTACCAGCCCTGCGCAGGGCTGTGGCGGGGCCGGGCCGGGCGGACAAAAGGGGCATTGCTGGGTGACGCTGCTGAGGAATTCCTGCCGGGCGGGGCGGGATTTATGGCTTTTTTTTTTTTTTTTTTTTTTTTTTTCCACGGGGCCGCTCGGGCCCGAGGCGGGGGACGGTGCGGAAAGCGCAGGGTCATCATCGACTCCCCTCCCCCAGTCCCCCCCCGCCCCCCCCCCCGTCCCGTCGGTCCGCCATGCCGGTCCCAATCCTGACCCCGATCCCGATCCGGATCCCGGGGCCGGTCCCCGCCGCCCACCCCCGGTCCGATTCCGGGCCCCCCCCGGCCCCGCGAGCGCACCTCGCCCCCCCCGCGTGCCACGCGGGCCGCGTGCCCCGCCCCGCCGCCGAGCAGCGCGCGCGGCCCCCCCTCCCCTCCCCCCCCGCGCGCCCTCCCGGCGCGCCCCGCGCGGCGGCGGCGGGGCGGGGCCCCCGCCCTGGCGGCGCGCGGGGAGGGGGCGGGGCGGCGGCTCCGCGCCTGCGCGGGCGGCCTCGCCCCTTCGGTGGCCACCCCCGCCCCTCGCCCTGCGCAGGCGCAGTGCGGCGGCGGCTCGGCGAGGGGAAGGGCGAGAGCGGCAGCCGGAGCGGGGGGGACCGCGGGGCTCCGCCGCTCCCGCCGCCGCCGCCATGGCGGGCGCGGCCCCGGCCCCGCACCGCGACCAGGACCACGACCAGGACGCTTCGGCGGCGGCGGGCGAGCGGCCGCACCTCTCGGCGGCGGCGCTGGCGAAGATTGAGCGGAACCGGCAGCGGGCGCTGGCACTGCGGCAGGCGCGGCTGGCGGCCCGGCCCTACCCTGCCGCAGGTCGGATGGCGGCGGCGGCGGCGGAACGGGCGAGTCCCCGCGCCCCTTTTTCTCCTTTTTCAGGGGGGATTTTGGGAGGGGAAAGGCGGGGAAGAGGTGGGGGTGGGGGGGCCGCCGCTGTGCTTGAGGCGGCGGGGGCGGCGTGGTGGTGGTGGGGGGGCGGCGGGAAGAAGGAGGAGAAGAAGAAGAAGAAGAAGGTGGTGGGGTGGGGGGGGAGAATCCACCGCCGCCGCGGCGCGCGAGGGCCCCCCCTCCCCCCCACACGTGTGGGGGAGGGGGGGGGCCCTCGCACGCGCGCGCTCTCCGCGCGGCCCCCCGCCTCGCGCGCGCGGCGCGGCGGGGGCGGCCGCGCGCGCCCCCTGGCGGCGGCGGCGGCGGCGCTTTAACGCAGCACCCGCCTCGTTTGTGCTCCCGCAGGCGGCGGCGGCGCGCGGGCGCGGGCCCTCCCCAAGGTCGTGGACACGGGAGGGGGATTCTTCCTGGAACAGGAGGAGGAGGACGAGGAGAAGAAGGAAGAGCCCGGCGCCGGCGAGAAGATCGTGCACACACCCGGTAATAAAAAAAAAAAAAAAAATTAAAAGCCTATAGGGAGCGGCGGGCGTTTGGCGGGGAGGCGGCGGGAGGAGGCGTCGCCACCGCGTGCGCGGGGCTGGCGGGGGAGGGCAGGAAGGCGCGGGGGCGACAGTGAGCCGGCTCCGGCCGCGCCAGCAGGGCGGGATGGATGGATGGGCGCCCTTTTTTTTTTTTTTTTCCCGGGCTTTTTTACCTCCTTTCCGTCTTTTTTTTTTTTTTTTTTTTTTTATTTCGTTTTTTACCCTTTTCTTTTTTTCCTCTCTTCCTCTTTCACACGTTTTTCTGGATGTGCTCGATTAGTGGCGCGTCCGATTCTTTTCAGCATTAAATCGGCTATAGCATTAAATCGGCTCGGTAATTAAAAATGAAGAATTTTAAGCCGCGGAAGTGGGACACAGCCAGTGCCCTTGGGTATAGCACGTTTTTAATTTTTTTTTTCCCCCCTATAAACGTTATTTCCATTATATCTTTCGGGGAATTAGAATTTTTAGACCGACATTATAGTAAACCTGCGCGGCTTCGTCGGTTCTGGGAATTTTGGGGTTGATGTGGTTTGTGCCAAAACCGGAGCGCTGCTGCAGTGCCAGCTTTTATCGTTATAAAACGTGCTGGCGCCAAGTTACCGATCGTTCGGTGGAGAATTTCAGCACATTGCCTTGCGATATTCTCCCCTCCAAAAAAGCAAATAGAGAAGTAAGGGTCCCAAAATAGATCCACTTTCTTCTCTGGGATTGTCTTTGTCTTGCTTTGTTCTGCTTGAATCAGCTGCGGGGCTGTTGGTGCAGTGTATCTCTTTGTTAGAAATCAGCACCAGCTTTCATTAGCAGTGTAAACAATTAGCAGCCCTGCTTCTTTTGATGGGCTAACGTTTAACAATAAATTAAAGTAGATCTGGGATGCCTTTGCACGGGGGGTATTTTTTGCTGTGTAATTCATAACGTCATTGTCTTAATAAAATGTCTTCGTGTTCGGGAGCACTGCCTTAAATGATGGAATGTGATGTAAGAGGATGAAATGACTGTGTGAAGTACTGAGCATCCGGCTGTCGCTAGTAGGACGGAATTTACATAAAATGTCGACTTTACTGGATCGGATCTGCTATAAATGCAAACGCAATTAAAATGTATGGTGCTGCATGTCAACCATTAATCTTCTGCTTCAGGTGTTCTTGAAATTCCACAGCATTGCCTTACTTTTGGATCTCAAAACTGTATGGAAATGTGAATTTTTTGCTAGAACTCCGATGTTACCGTTCAAAGAATGTTCCTTATAGCTGTTGTTCTGTGAATCGGTGTTTCTTGGTGTCCCATGGAACATAAAGCAGATGGTGATGACGCTGGAGGTGATCCGCCCGTTGAGGATGCGCCCAGAAGTGATGGCTGGCGCTGAGATGAGTCTGGGCTTGGAGCAGTGCTGAGAGGGCTTGGGGAGAGGATTGTAGTGGAGCTCCATCCCCATTCCACTCCTAGCAGCTCTCTGGCCATCCACCTCCGTTTCTGCCAGCTGGAACGGACAAGAACCTTGCCAACTGCCCCAGGCCTCCACTGAGCACATTTAGGGAGAGGCAGGTGTGGCTGAGCTAGGAAAAAAACTGGAGCAGGGCTGAGAGAACTACAATGCCGGCGCAGCTCCTGTAGTTTCCTGCTTTAGCCACCCTCTTTAAAATGCATCCCTTTCTTTGCTTCCTCATGTTCTTACCCGCGTGTCCTCTATGAATGAGGACATATTTTTGGGAGGGTCAGAACAGAGGAAGTGGAAGGAGGGGATATGAAGTACTTAGTGGGGAAATGGGATTTTTTTTAACAATGGCTAAGTTAAAAACAAATGTGTGAATTTGAATGTTGAAATCAAGTTCTTAAAACTGAACTCCTGAACGAGAACAGAAACGTACCGGCAGAGATGGGATTGTATGGTAACAGGTTTGAATTTGTACTGTATCATTCTGGAAAACTTATTAGAGTGAAACTAGTCTGTAACATGCTATAATGTGAATTTTAGTAAAATTGCCTGTAATACCAATTCTAGATGCTTGTTTTTATCATTGTAGTCCCTTTAAAAAATATTTTTTTCCATTAGCACCCGTACTAGAATTTGACTATCTCATCTGTGGAGACTGTGGCAAAGAATTCATGGACTCCTACCTTATGCAGCACTTTGATTGGGCAACATGTGATAATTGCAGGTATTACAAATAATCAGGAGAGAGAAGCACTATTTTACATAAAAAGATTTCTGGCCATAATTCAGTGAGTTACGGTGTTTATTAAAAAGGCTGTCATCAAAAGAGACATTTCGTAACTTGGATAAAAAAAGTAAGGTTGACTGATGCCCTGTGTATTTTCCATTATGGAATTAAAACACAGCAGTGTCTTGTAAGCCTGCCTTAGCATAGGGGACATCAGTGGCTTTTCATACGACATGTCGTAAGAACGGCTGGTGCATTTGTCAGTGTGAAAAGTTATGTCTGGCTGCACATTACAGCCTGTTGAAAATCTGATGGAACACAAGTACCTGCTCTCAAGTAAGACATTGGTTAGGAGGAGCATGTTTGTGGTCCTAGTGATTTAACCTGAGTGGAGTTGGTACTTAGTCAGCAGGAGCCGGCTGGGAGCACAGCAGCCAAAGGGCAGAGCCCCTGTGCGAGGTTACTGGTTGGCCTGCAGGGTAAGCAGAAGTTCGACCTTGAGCGGAAGGTAGTCTCTGTGCTCTTATCTTTAACACAGAAAATGCTCCAAAGGCCATCAAGATAACCAGGGCAATGAAACCAACTGCAGCAGCGAGCCATCCATGTGTGTAAGAGTGAATTGAGTGAATGAAAAAAAAAAATGCAGCTTGGAGTTGGTTCTGGGAGCCAACCCCTTTACTGCAGGGAGTGGCTGGGCGCGTGCACATGGTGTAGACAGTTCACAGGCGTTGCAGGCTAAGTGGTGTCTCTGGAAGTTACAGTGTAAAGGACAGGACTTAAAGCCTTGGGAGTAGTTTTCCTTCCGACCTAAGTTCCTGCAACTGAACAGCTGAACACTAGAGTCTCCTTGGTGAAGTAGCTGTTACTGTGAACTTTGAATTCTAGTAAAGCTACGTTTACAGCAGTACTTCCTTGATGACTGTTGTTAGCACTTAGCGTTTGGCAGCTCAAGCAATTCAAGTTGCACTTCAGTCAGGATTGCGTAAAAGTAATTTTTTCCATGAACTCATAAATGCTGCTGTGGTTACAATTTTTCATTATCTGTCTGGTGAAAGCTACAGTCTTTTAAGGTCTTTCTGTTATGGTTCCTCTGCCTACTGTCTTGCATTATAGAAACAAGTGCTCTGTGTTGCTAATCAGTTTCTAGGATCTAGAAGCATATGGAGTGTATATTCTCAGGTGATCTGTATCACATTACACATTCTTTCTCTCTTGACCATGTGTCAGGCTGATACTTATACTTTTGTCCTCTTGGATTGCGTCTGGGTTAGGTGAATACCTAAAATTATTCATACTAATTTTACGTTTCAGTTACTCCCTCTAGTAAGAAAGTTGAAGAGCCTTTCTAGAAGAGCAGGCTTCTCAGCCAGCGTTTGCTCAAATGGGAGAATTTTCAAACAGTTCAGTAAATCTAGCCTGGAGTTTAGCTAGACTGTCGGAATCCAAAGTTATTTGCATGCATAAAAACCAGAGGGAATTAGGGCTACCTGTATTTCAGGAATGTTGAAAGGGATGGGGACTTAGGTGTTAATAACCTGTGGTTTTAGGGTGTAGCTTTCTCATCATTATTTTACATCTTACAGAGATGTTGAAGATAAACATAAGCTTATAACAAGGACAGAAGCAAAAGAAGAGTATCTCCTTAAAGACTGTGACTTAGACAAGAGGGAACCGGTGCTCAGATTCATTGTGAAGAAAAACCCTCATAATTCACGATGGGGTGAAATGAAACTTTATTTAAAACTGCAGGTATAGAAACTTACTGGATTTTAGACCTCTTTTTACTTTGTACAACTTTGGTAGCCAAAATGGTGTTACTTGCTGCCTGAATGATTTTGTGAAAGCTGTGTGTTATGCATAGCTTGTTAGAGTTAGATGGTTGTGGTCCAAATTTTTGAAAATGTCTGCGTTTGAGAGCATTTTGAAAATGCTCATGGAGCGCAGCTTCAGTGGGTTGCACAATTCCAAGTCATGAAGCACGTGGCCTTTCGGTGCTACTCTGAAGTGCATGGGGCAGCTGCTGCTCCCCTTGTAGCTGTGTTCACAGCTCTGCCCTCAGAGGCAGCAGGAAAAGCAAGTGAATTTTCGGATTTTCCAGGACTCTTGTCGTTTCTTGTTTGCTGCTTTTATAGGAATGCTATTGCTTTAGTGAAATATGTGCTAAATTAGAGCTGGGTTTAACTTTATCATCAGTCCTGCCTAACCGGGGAGGTCCCAGGTTACATCCAGCTGACACTAAAAATCAACGTTGCCTCTTCTTGTGGAAGGAATGCAGTATTTTGTTGGTCAAGGGCAAAGGCAGAAGAAGATTGGGTTGGCAATTTGCAAGTTAGAGTAGTTTACTTTTATCATTTCGGGGGGAAAAAAGACATTTATGTCCATCCTGTAGGTAATCAAGCGTTCACTTGAAGTGTGGGGTAGCGAAGACGCATTGCAAGAAGCAAAGGAGCTCCGCCGTGACAGCAGAGAGAAGATGAAACAGAAGAAGTTTGATAAGAAGGTTAAAGGTAAAGGGTTAAAGTTATATACTGCAGTACCTGAGATTAAGTACAGTTTTGTTTGAATCTCTGTCTGCATCTGATTAAGGTACTGAGAAAGTCTTCAGGGTGGCAAAATGGAGTTTTTCAAGAACTAGATGAGACTAGAGCGGTCTGGTGTGAGCTCATAGCTGACTATTTTGGGCAGAGGGTTGGACTGTAGGATTGAGATCCCTTCCAACCTGAATTACCCTATTGTCCTGTGGACGTGATGTGACAAATCAGTTATGATGGTTCATTTTGGTGTTCTAATTTTTTGGTATGACCCAGAATGTGCCATGGATTGTTCCTGTTTCTTTTGACTTGTGGAGGACGTAGGTTTTTATGGCATTTCTGTCATAGATAGGCCCTTGGGTGGAGTGACCGTAAATGAGAGTAGAAAATGCCTTTTCCCAGCGTTGCTCACTTCATTCCCCACCGCTGTCTTTACTGCACATTATCCTTGGGTTTTTTCCCGAGAACTTAGTATTTAGGAGAGTATTTGATGGGTGGAACTTTTCTTTGTGACCTGTAGCATCCCTGTTTCCCTCTGGGTCCACACCTGTGGGGGCAGAAAGCTCCAGCTGGGTGTACTGGTGTTGTCTGGAGGAGGCAGAACTTGAGGCTGCACAAATAACCCCTCTGGGCCATTGGTGTTCCGCGCACAGACGCACTGGCAGCAGGCTGTAGCCGAGGTGCCAGAGTTCAGTGCAAGTACAGGCCTTAACGTGACGAAGTTTGCAGCCTGAATGGCTTGGCTCAAAATGTGACCATGTTTTGCTCTTCAGTATGCTTGCCACCCGCTTGCAACATCCGGAAGATATCTTGGGCTCTGCTGCCAGCCTGTGCGCTCTGGAGAACCTGCAGATTTCACTGCAGATGCTGCAGAGGCAACTCATATTATTGGGCATAAAGCTTAGAGAATGCCAAGTCATTTGGGAGGCTCACTGTGACCTGAATGAAAATGACTCTCTCTTGGTCATGTAAAATAAATGAGGTGTTCTATAAAAACTTTTCCTTTGCATTTCACCAACTCCTTTTGGATACCTTTGAATGGCTTCTTGTAAAAAGGCAGTGAGCAACACGTCCTTAGTCCAGATGGAAAATCTTTGCCTGTGAGATCCTATGCCAGTGTACTTCTTAGCCTTGAAAACAGCAGACAAGGTGAGGATTGCCAGGCAAGTCAGAGCTTGTTCTTGCAAGAGCAGATACTTGCCCAAAATTTATGGAAGACAGGCAGCAAGCGTTTTGTCATCTGTAGGCCTCAGAAAGGTGGTTAGCTTGAGTTTTATTAAACGTTATTTAAGATTTATTAAAATCCTAACATTTTCTTGTATATCTCTTTAGAACTGCGCCGAGCTGTGAGGAGTAGTTTGTGGAAGAAAGCAGCTACTATCCATGAGCATGAGTACGGACCAGAAGAAAACATAGATGAAGACACATATAAAAAGACATGCACTGTATGTGGCCATGAATTAACTTACGAGAAGATGTAGTGTTAATCTGGGTTTTGGGGTTTTTTTGGTGATTTGGTTTTTTTGTTTTGTTTTTAATGGTATTTTGTATTAAAGTCAAATAAATGCTAATTATGACCAAGCTGTTGCCAAATTCTGTAAAGAGTTACTTTTTTCAGTTGTAAGAAGCGCTGTACAGAACAGTAAGCTTTGGCTTTTAAGCTAGATCTTAGGGTAGAATATAACACATTTGCAACAGTTCAAAAATTGGTATCTCCTAGGCCAAAAGATAAGTTTGTATCATTGTACTTGATATGCTGATGAAATGAAGGTGAACATTCCACTGCTGGTTTGCTCCTGTCAGAGGAGGAAGACTCCATGCTCCGTATTTTGTCCTGACTTTTGTCTGTTTTTTCAGTTACTGGTCATGGGTGGGCAGAGGACAGTGAGCTGATAAAGCAGCACTTAGGGTGGCTGGAGGCTGTTGAGGCAGGTTCTCCTTTAGCTTGGAGACACAACTCCATGAAGGAGAAAAAGAAAGCTGCCTGCTCCTGGGGAGGTTCTGAAATGTGTCTACCATATTTCACGGGGAGAGTCCCTAAGGATATCCTCTACTTCTTTTTTTCTTTTTCCCAACTTTCAGACCAGAGACCAAGGCAAGGATAAATACCTGTCCTCAGGGGCAAGGGGGGGAAGGAAGTGCCATTCCAAGGTGGAGCTCTCTAAGTGCACCTGAATGACGTTTGCTTTCAGTAGAGGGTGGATTTACTTGGATTTACTTCCAAGTTCAAATCTTCATTCTTGCAGCGGTTGAGGAATGCATGTGGAAGTGGCTGAAGGGCAGGAACATGTTCTAGGTAGTGGCTCTGCATTTGTTAACCATGGTAAATATGGTGGATCTCAGGGAAGTCTTGGGAGACTTCTCTGGGGAGCATGGGCCACTGGCTGTGCAGAGAGCTATGATGTATTCGCCATCACGGAAATGGGGGATGAGTCCCACACCAGGAGTGCTGCAGTGATGGTCATAAGCTCTTCAGAAGGGACAGACAGGGAAGGAGAGGGGTGGCGTGGCTCTGTACTTCAGGGAGCGTTTTGACTGCAGAGCTCAAAGACAGTGATGGTAAGGTTGGGTGCCTATGGATAAGGATGAGGGGGAAGGCTAACAAGGCAGACATCCTGGTAGGAGTCAGTTATAGACCACCCAATCAGGATGAAGAAGCAGAAGAAGTATTTTAGAAGGAGCTGGCTGACATTTTGTGGTTGCTAACCTTGGTTTTGTGGGAGACACTTAACTTGTGGGATGTCTGCTGGTGAGGAGGCAGTCTAGGAGGTTCCTGGAGTGTGTGGAAGATATCTTCCTGATGGTAAGCAACTTGTCCTGATTCCTGCCAGGACAGGGTTCATTTTTGCAGTATCCAGGAGGGGCAGGACGAGGACCTAGACACCACCTCAGTCCATACACAGGGGGACAGGGGGTGGGCGGAAGGGGGTCCCTTCCAGGCGGGATAACACCGTGTTCCTCATGGTGAGCACTCGTGGGGGAATCGCTCGTCTCTCTTGCACACTGCACACTCTTACTAATACTGGCGTGTTACTGTTCCTTTCAGTTGCTGTTGCTGGTTCCAGTAAATTGTTCTTATCTCAGCCTATGATCTTTACCTTTTGTGACTCCAGTTCTCCTCTCCATCCCAGTGCAGGGGGAGGGGGAAATGAGTGAACTGTGCATGGTTTGGAGTGTTTCAGTGGAAACACAATTGGGGAACATCATTCCTAAACCACAACATGAGCCTACCAGTGGTGCCCCACTAGACGTGCTGTTTATGAACAGAGAAGGGCTGGTGGCAGATGTGATGGTCAAAGGCCATCTTGGGCACACAGACCATGAAATGATAGTTTTTGATTCTTGGTAAACTAAGGAAGGGAATCAACAAAACCTCTACCTTGGACTTCTGGAGAGTGGACTTTGGCCTATTCTGGACACTGGTTCAAAGAGTCCTTTGGAAAACAGTCCTTAATAACAAAAGGGTCCAGGAAGACTTGATATGCTTTAGGTAGGCTGTCCCTATGTGCTGAAAGATGAGTTGTGGAAGAAGACAGGCCTGGCTGAACAGGGAGCTTATGCTGGAACTCAGGGGAAATAAGAGAGCTTATGACCTTTAGAAGAAGGGGCAGACAACTCAGGAAGAGTACAAGGATGTTGTTGGGCCATGTAAAGAGAAAATTAGGTGAAAGTTCAGTTAGAACTCAATCTGGGCATGACTGTGAAATATAATAAAAAGTGGTTTTATTACAACAAAAGGAGGGTCAAGGAAAATCTCCATCTTTTATTGAATGCAGGGGGGGACATGGTCACCAAGAATGAGGAAAAGGCTGAGGTACTTAATGCCTTCTTTGCCTCAGTCTAAGGAGAAAGACCAGTTATCCTCAGGGCCACCAGCCCCCTGAGCTGATAGACCCAGGTGGGGAACAGAATAGACACCCTGCAATCCAGAAGGAAGTAGTGACCTGCTGTGGCACTTAAGACACTCACAAGTCTCTGGGACAGGACAGGATTTATACCTGAGGGTATTGAGGGAGTTGGCAGAAGAGCTCGTCAGGCCACTTTCCATCATTTGTCATCAGTCCTGCCTAACCGGGGAAGTCCCAGATGACTGGAGGTTGGCCAATGCGATGCCTATCCACAGGAAGGGCTGGAATGAGGATCTGGGGAATTACAGGCCTGTCAGCCTGATCTTGGTGACTACTGGCAAGTTTATGGAACAGATCATCTCGAGTGAACAACCAAGGGATCAGGCCCAGCCAGCACAGATTAGGAAATGCAGGTCCTGACTGACCAACCTGATCTCCTTTTACACCAAGTGACCCACCTGGTGGATGAGGGAAAGGCTGTGGATGTGTCTACCTGGACTTAAGTAAAGCCTTTGACACTGTCTCCCACAGCATTACCCTGGAAAAGCTGGCAGCCCATGGCTTAGACATGTGCACTCTTCTCTGGGTTAAAAACTGGCTGGGAGGCCAGGCCCAGCGAGTGGTGGTGAGTGGTGTCACATCCAATTGGTGTCTGATCACTAGGGGGAGTTCCCCAGGGATCAGTGTTGGGCCCAATCGTGTTCAATGTCCTTACTGATGATCTGGATGAGGAAATCAAGTGCACCCTCAGTGAGTTTGCAGACATCCAGTTGGGTGGGTGTTGATCCAGAGGTTAGGAAGGCTCTGCAGAGGGATCTGGACAGGCTGGATTGATAGGCTGAGGCCAATGGTGTGAGGTTCAATAAGGCCAAGTGACAGGTACTGCCCTTGGGCCACAACAACCCCATGCAGCACTACAGGCTGGGGGCAGAGTGGCTGAAAAGCTGCCCGATGGAAAAGGACCTGGGGGTGCTTGTCAACAGGAAGCTGAACATGAGCCAGCAGTGTGCCCAGGTGGCCAAGAAGGCCAGTGGCATCCTGGCCTATGTCAGAAATTACGCAGCCACCAGAACCAGAGCAGGGATTGTCTCTCTGTCTTCAGCACTGGTGAGGCCACACCTCCAGTGCTGTGTCCAGTTCTGGGCCCCTCAATTCAGGAAGGAGACTGAGGTGCTGGAGAGTGTCCAGAGAAGGGCAACAGAGCTGGGGAAGGGTCTGGAGCACAAGTCCTATGAGGAGCAGTTGAGGGAGCTGGGGTTGTTCAACCTGCAGAAAAGGAGGCTCAAGGAGAGACCTCATCACTCTCTATAACTCCCTGAAAGGAGGTTGTAGCCAGGTGGAGGTCACCCTCATCTCCCAGGCAACTAGAGATAGGTCAGGAGGACATAGCCCCAGGCTGTATTAGGGGATGTTTAGGTTGGACATCAGGAAGGAATTTCTTCACAGGAGTTCTTAAACATTGGAATGGGCTGCCCAGGGAGGTGCTGGAGTCAACTGGAGCTGTTTAAGAAAAGACTGGATGTCAAGCTGACAAGCTGGTCAGAGGTTGGACTTGATAACCTCAGAGGTCTTTTCCAACCTAATTGATTCTGTGATTCTGTTAGAGGAGGAGACAAGGTGTCTGGGAAGGGCAGATGATGGTTCCAGTAATAGGTCTTTACTTCCCCAGTGCTTCGTTTGCAGCTCCCCAGTAACCTGCCTTCCCGCTAAGCACAGAAGGCCTTTGGGGCCTTGCAAAGCCTAGGAAAGTGGCATGAGGGGTTAGCTGGAGGGCAGATCCCAGCAGGGCTTTTGGAGGTAGTCCTCCATGTCACGGTTTCGTTACCCAGTGTTGTCTTGGGTCCCTAAACTCCTCTCCGGGGCAGCTGGGAGGTGTGCACTGGCTACTGAATAACCTGTGGGCACGCTGCAGCAGCCCTCCCCTCAGCAAGCACCACCAGTCCACACCTTCCTGACTTCCTGTAGCAGCACCTCCCCCTGCCAGAGGACAGGAGGTGGCAAGAGGGAGGGAGAATGTCTGCGTGAGCACCCCCTGGCACCTAGCAGCACATATGTTTGCCTCACATGGCTGTGCAGGTGGGGCAGTGTGTCAGACCAGCCACAGCACAAGAAGGTGAAGGCTTGTGTGTTAGTCAGGACACCAGCACAAGTGCTGGGACAAAACTCCTCCAAACCCCACTGCATTTAACACCAGCATAACCCAGCATGACTGCTTTGTTTCAGTGCCCCCCAAAACAGACAGGACAAACACTCTCAGTAGCAACCTGCTTCACCTTCATTTATTTTTGTCTTTAATTGTGCATTTTTTTCCAATCACACCACATTTCTACAGCATCTTTACACTACCCGCCACCACATGCTTCAGGCAGTTCCAAGTCAGGTGTACACCATTAGACCTTAAAGAAGGTGAAGGTGTCCAACAGGCTCAAGAAATGTAATCAAAGCCCGTGGTCAAACCTTGGCATGATTGGAAATTAAATCAATTTCAAAAGACATTCCTATTTGGTTTTATAACATACGATTACACTCAAGCATTTGCAACTGTATCCCCAGCATCAGTATTTGTCAAGGCTCAAAGAAAGTTACAGGTTTGCAAGTTCTAACTGCATTACAGTTTAACAGAAGTCACATTTATAGTCAAAACCCCCACCATTAATTAATATCAGAACTCTGATACTGACCCAAGCCAGTGAAAAAACTATTAAAATCCAATTAAAACTTCTAAAGTATTAAATGTTTCTTAAA